ATCTCCTACAAAGAGAGGCGGCGGAGGTGGAGGATCGTCGTCAACGTCAGGTGCGGGACGAGGGCAGGCGACCATCTCGTCGTTCTTCTCTCCTAAACCCAAAGCCGGATATCCTCCGCCCTCGCCGGCGCCATCACCGTCCTTGAAACAAGGGGATCGAAATGGCACCGTCGGAGCGGCACATCGACAGTCCGTACTTGTCGGGGAGAAGGCCATCGCCGTCAATGCGAAGAAGGTTATGGACGATAGCCTGACGCAGTGCAAGGACGTGAAGGAGGAAGAGGAGGAGAACGCGAAGAAGGGGGGTGCATCGGGCATTGCAGCCAGAGGGGGGAAGCAGTCGACTGGCAACGATGATTGCTCCCGTCAAGATCAGGAGAAAGCTAACGACGGCGACGCCCAATCAACGTTGATTGGGCGTAGATTACGGGTGCTCTGGCCGCGAGACAGGGTATGGTACACAGGACACGTGTCTTCTTTCGATCGAAGGTCAGGGAAGCATTGCATTGCCTACGATGATGGAGATGAAGAAGCGCTTTTGCTCAAGGATGAGAAGGTGGAGTGGCTTGATGCTGTCACCGCCGCCGCCGGTGATGGTAAAAAAAAACTGAATGGCGATGGCAACGTTGAAGGAGTAAATGGGAGAGGGTTTGAGGGTGGTAGTGCCCTAGGAAAGAGCGATAAGCAGGAGGAGGGGAGAAAGGGAGAGAGAGGTGGTGATAGTATGGAGAGCGCAGAGAAGCGTGACCCGACAAGAGAGGGAGGGAGAAGGAGAGTGTTGAAGAAAGCCGCTAGCGGTCAATCTGTTGCCGCCCGGAGGTTGGTAGTAGAGAGCGAAGACGAAGAGGGGGAGAAAGATGATGGGACGAGGAAAGGCTGGGAGAAGGTCAATGGGGAGGAAGAGAAGGAGAACGCGATGGACACGAAGGAGGAGGAAGAAGAAAAGGACAACAAGATGGATGATATACCTTTGGTTGAAAGACGGCGGCCGATGGGTACGATGGAGAAGGAGATGGCGATGGACATGGAGGGAGAGAAGGAGATGGCGATGGACATGGAGGGAGAGAAGGCGAAGAAGAGAGAAAAGGGCAGCGCGATCGATGATATGCCTTTGCAAGAGAGACGGCGGCCGCTTCGTTCCAGACGACGGGTGGTCTACTGCAGCGAGTCTGGCGGCAGTGGGAGTGAAGACACGGGTGATGAAGATTGGGATGTAGAGAAGATGAAGAAAGAGGAGGGGGTGGGGGTAAATGGGAACGACGAAGACGATGATGAGGAAGAGGAAGAGGAAGAGGAAGAGGACACGGGGCAGGAGGATGAAAATGAGGTGGACGATTTGGATAAACCGTTGGGAAGGAGGCGGAATGGTGGTGGTGGTGGAGCGCGTGGCGGCGCAAAGGATGGCAGCCGGGGGAAAAAGCGCGGGCGCACAGGGGCAGGAGGGGAAGAAGACGACAGTGACAATGTGAAATCCCACAGATCTAGAAAGAAGGCCAAATGTGGCTTGGCAATGGCGATAGCCTCCAAGCGAACAGAGAAGATGGAGGAGGAAGATGGAGCTAATGAAGGGGATAAGAAGAATGGATCGGGATCGGGATCCGGACAGGGACAAGATGACATGGTCAAGGAAAGGGGAGGAGGGTCTATGAAACCTAAGCCGTCGTCCTCTGCAGTAACGGCAACGACGAGGGATCGATACCGGTGGCTGCTGGGAGAAGACCGTGCCATAACAACGGACACACTCTCCGTTTCCCAATCTGCTATTTCTGCTCCAGGTGAGCTTTTTCCCCCTCTCCCTCTCCCTCTCCCTCTCTCGCATCTCTTCCGTTCACTCCTCCCTCTCTCCCTACCCACCTCCCCCCCCCCCCCCCCCCCCCCCCCCCCCCCCCCC